AGCAATGATGCAACAAGTTGAAAAGGAAACTAAATGCAAGTTGCCAAACTGCATTTGAAGAATGAGACTGGGATTCCCCTCCGGCCTGGCGTCTTGGCTGAGTCGAATGCACTGAGTGTTCACGGAGCACAGGATTCTTCTGACTGCCTGCAAGAGGCCTTTGTCATTCTGGTGGAAATTTTTAGTTCCTGAACTCTAGGGAGAACCAAAGAACCAGTGGGAGAAGGTGTGTCCTCATAAACAGCTTGCATGTGTGCCAAGTACTACTATTCTGAGCTGGCACTAGGATGTCTCCTGGAAAGCTCTCTTGTAATTGCGTCATCTTCCTGACCACAGACCCAGAACATCAGGGAATAATCTAACCAGATTCCAATAGAAGATCTAATAACCATTCTGAGCACATTAAATAAATTAAAGTAATTAATTCTCACCACAGGTTAATGAAGGGGTATTATTATTATCTTAGTTTTACAGATAAGGACATTGGGCACAGTCTTCCCTTCCTTTGTTAAGAAATTTCACAATAACATCCAACTCTCCAAGTTTTAGCGGAAATATTCAAGGCCTGGTACAACTTTCCCATCTCGCACTTCTAGACCCCTTCTAGGGAGAGAAACTTGATCTTGTTCCAAGCTCTTCTTTCTTACTCATTTCTTCTTTTCATAAGATGTCCAATTTTGCCAAACCTATGATTTAGTTCTTGCTTCCAAATGGCCTGTATGTCATCACCAGCCTTTATCCCATTGGCCAATTCTTTACCTGTCCTTCTATATCCATCTATCAATCCTAAAGTACCAATTATTTGGTAATGCCTGTCCAGTTTACAACCTGTCTCCATGCCTTGGCTCCTTGTAAATACAGCGCTTCCATTAGAAATCTTTCTGTTCTGAAATGGATGGCTAATTTTTTCCATCTCCTCCAGAAAACTAGACTTTGTAAGACTGAACTTTGTATTCCCAGTCATTAGCACAGTGTCCAACCACCCATGGTAGGAACCTACCTAAGTATTGTTAACTGAATAAATACTATGCTAGGAATATATGCTTTGATGAGCTTCCGACTATCAAATTGCAAGGAGTTGTCTCAGCCCTATACATATTCATGATATACTCATGAGCACATTGCTAGGCAATGTGAACAAAGGAAGAAGAATACAATTCAAAATAGAATACAATTTGTCTTGATAAAACTTATTGTTTTAGACAAGTTTAGCCCCAGTACATGAGGGTCTTTTTGCTGCTTCTTAGAAGCAGCATGGTGTTGAATCTAAACGAAATAGAAATTCACCTTCCAAAGTTTTTAAACAGCAATATAGGTCTTCCCTATAGCATCTTAAAGATAAAGTTGGAAATTATATCATAAAATTCTTCAGGAAAACATACTTAGTTCCTGTGACAGAGGGATTGCGCTATTTTTCAAATGACTTAGGATTTTCCCACTGGTTTGAAATGTCACTTTTATTATACGCAAAGTTTCACTAAATGTAATGGTCTTATCCTCGATCTCTGTTCTGTTTTCCTGATTAAGTTGTCTATTCTTACAATACTAACACTTGGTTTTGATTTCTACAGCCTTAGAGGATCATTTGATATTTGTTAAATTAAGTTTATCTGCATATTTCTCCCTTTCTCAGATTTTCTTGTTAATTATTTCATCTTTATAGGTTTTATAGTCAACTTGTCAAGTTCTATCTAAAAATCTTGGTGAGGTATAGCTTAGGAATGCATTGAATTTATATATTAATACACAATGTACCAATTTAAAAGTGTGCAATCTATTTTTATATGCTAATAGAGAAAAATCTCTAAGATCTGTCAGTAAATAAAAATAAATTAGAAATTTATATAGAGAGAATAATATTTATGTAATATATGCTAAATATTTCTGTGTATTTACATTTACTAAATACATGGGGAAATGTCTAGAAGGATACACATTAAATCATTAACAGTGTGGGGCTGGGGTGGATCCTGGCCAAAGGTAGACTTTTATTTGTATGAATTGCTTGAAAATTTAACAATGACAATATATTCACGTATATTTTGTAAATATAAATAAGCTTAAGAAATCCTCTTTAGTTCTTTAGAGTCGCACTTATCATGGCAGTTACTTGTTCTCACATCTCCCTTGCCATCTGAATTTCTCTATATAATTACCACAACACGCACAGAGATGAATAGTTATTTACTGAGTGATTACTACGTACACAGATAATACATAACCACAGCAGTAACAGATATTTTACATCTAAGTTATTCCTATATGCCAGGTATTTTGCACTCATTACTTATTTAATCTGATAAGTGTCTGAAGTAGATATTATTATTAACCCCATAATAAGGCTGTGAAAATTGAGCTATAGAAAATTTAGGCAACTTGTACAGCAGCAAACTGGGAAAGTCTAAGAAGGGTTCCTGTTTTCAAGAAACCTATGACCAAAGAAGAAGACAAGACTAGCACGCTGGAGAAAATCAGAAAGAACTCAGTATTCATAAAAACGCTAATTGTTATGTCAACACAACTACTATTTATATGGATTTACTTTTTCACTTTTATTAACACTGTAGGACCTCCCTGCAGTGCCCTGCAAACGAGGTAAGATATTAGGAGAGGGGAAGTCACGATCACCAGTCTAAAGGATCCATTAATCAGCATCACTTAAATATTCTTCTGCTCAAAGTTCTGGACTAGGTGACTTGAGTTAAGATCATCGGTGATATAGGGTTTTATTTCTTCCTTACCAAATTAGATGTCTGTGTCTTTCACTTTTATGGGGTAGTCATCTTCAGTCAACTAAATTAGGTATTCCAACCCCTATTCTTGGATTCTTTGGTATTCCCTCACACTCTGCTGAATGGTAGTTTGTTTCCTGATGTCTTCTATCTAATCAAAAATTAATTGCAAAATTGTGCCATACACTAATAAGAATCCATTTTCAGATTGAATACCCATGATTCTGAATCTGAGAGATTCTGATATTTCTTCATTATCTTTATTTCTCCGAGATATACCACCTGCTAACCTCACCTTTCTTCTCCTTATGCCAACTGTCTAGAAGACTATGAATAACTTGAATGCAGAAGTAAAATCTTATTCAACTTTGTGTTTTAGCACCTAGCATCACACCTACTATATAGTGCAATGTAGGAGTGCAAACAATATTTAAGTGAATAAGAAGAATAATGACAAAAATATTACAACTTATTGTCATAGGGGAGTTCTGAGAGTCAAAATAATGAATATGAAACCATTTTGGAAAATAAGAGGGTGTTATAAAGTAAATTATGATTAAATTAATCCCAATTCTAGGGATACTTTCTTCAATTTTGTGTTTGAAACATTTTGTCTTTTTTTAAAGCAAAGCTAGATTTATTTACAGATATATTATATTATCATTTTTTTAACATTTTTAATTGATTTATAATCATTTTACAGTATTGTGTCAAATTCCAGTGTTCAGCACAATTTTTCAGTCATTCATGGACATATACACACTCATTGTCACATTTTTTTCTCTGTGAGTTTCATAACATTTTGTGTATATTTCCCTGTACTATACAGTATAATCTTGTTTATCTATTCCACAATTTTGAAATCCCAGTCTATCCCTTCCCACCCTCCACCCTCCTGGCAACCACAAGTCTGTATTCTCTGTCTATGAGTCTATTTCTCTCCTGTATTTATGCTTTGTGTTTGTTTGTTTTTGTTTTTGTTTTTTAGATTCCACACATGAGTGATCTCATATGGTATTTTTCTTTCTCTTTCTGGCTTACTTCACTTAGAATGACATTCTCCAGGAGCATCCATGTTGCTGCAAATGGCATTATGTTGTTGGTTTTTATGGCTGAGTAGTATTCCATTGTATAAATATACCACCTCTTCTTTATCCAGTCACCTGTTGATGGACATTTAGGCTGTTTCCATGTTTTGGCTATTGTAAATAGTGCTGCTATGAACATTGGGGAAACCAGAAGTAAAACAAGAAGACAACCTATGGAATGGGAGAAAATTTTTGCAAATGAAACCGACAAAGGCTTGATCTCCAGAATATATAAGCAGCTCATACGACTCAATAAGAAAAAAATAAACAACCCAATCCAAAAAATGGGCAGAAGACCTAAACAAGCAATTCTCCAAGGAAGACATACAAATGATCAAAAGGCACATGAAAAAATGCTCAATATCACTAATTATCAGAGAAATGCAAATCAAAACTACAATGAGGTATCACCTCACACCAGTCAGAATGGCCATCATTCAAAAATCCACAAATGGCAAATGCTGGAGAGGCTGTGGAG